CCTCCATGGGATCTAGCTTAAATGCCACCCGATAGGGCGGTTTTTAAACTAGTTTATAATAAAACGTGCACGTCATTATTGAATTTTGGATACAAAAGGAAAATAAGAGTTACACTCCTTGAAACAGGAAATCAACGATAATGGCTAGTATAATATATTAATATATATTTTTAACTTCGCAAAATCTGGTATCCATGAATCTGAGCTCAACGAAAATCGTTTCTCTTTTCTAGGGCTTTTGAATGAGTTATGAATCATTGAAATTGGACCAATGGGAGCGGAGGAGTTGATTGGGCAGACACAAACACACACATACACTGTACTTTATATATAAGATATATATTATCTTATATATATATATATATATATATATATATATATATATATATATTATATATATAAATTAAATTATATATATTATCTTATATATATATATATATATACATGTATGTACACATAGATATTATTGTATATATATATGTATATATATATCTTTTTCTGATATACATATATATATATATATATATATATATATATATATATATATTATCTTATACATATATATACATTATATATATATATATTATTAATATATATATTTATAGATTCAGTGTGTAAATTGCTATGAAGTAGCGCTGGGGCTTTTTTAATCTCAAACATTCGTCGGATAATTGATCTCGAATTTTGCATTTATTCATATAGATTCCATAATACAGGTTTTACTTAATTAGCTATTATGTTTCTCTAAGTCTTCAAACGTTGAATGTATAACGAATTCTTACTTCTATTTTCTCATCTTTACACTATATTAATTTCATCTTATAAATTGTTCCCTATTCTGTCACCTATGGAATAAAAACAATAAGGACCTACGTACATCAAATTGTCTTTAAGTGGCAGCAGAAGAATTATCGTTGAACTTTTAAAAGGTAAGCTTAAACATTAATTCAATTCAGTTATCAATTTTGAGTTCTGTAGTTTATTGATGCCTATCGCATCTCTTCCCTAGCTATTATGATGATGACCAAACCAAGAGTCCTCCACAGGAGGTACCTTAAATGCCGCCTGATAGAGCCGTTTTTAAGCTAGTTTGTAATAAAACGTGAACTGCAATTACAAAAGGAAAATAAGAGTTACTCTCCTTGAAACATGAAAGGAACTATAATGGCTAGTATAATATATTAATATATTATTTTTAACCTCGCATAATCTGGCAACCCTGAATCTGAGCTAAACGAAAATCGTTCCCTGCGCCTAATTTTTCTAGGGCTTTTGAATGAGCTCTGAATAATTGAAATCAGACCAGTGGAAGCGGAGGAGTTGCTTGGGCACACACACGCACAAACTCACACACACATACACTGTAAATTAGTGAGTTCTATTACGAAATTAATTCTACCACACATAAGGAATAGTCTAGTGTCTGCCTGCGCGTGTGTAGGATGTATAATAGTATCTGAAACAAAAGTGAAGATGATGATATAAAGCTGAAAACTTTATAAACGACACGTTTCGCCGGAGAGCGTATGCTCAATTTGGCTTCCTCAGTTTAAAATGAAAAAAAAAATGTGCCCGAGGAAAATGCTTTTGGATTTTTGGGGATAAGTGGGAATCATAAATAAAAGTAAATCACCTTAGCTTATCACTTTCCAATGTCTAAACTTAGAGAGTCTGTCCGCCTGTATGTGTGTGTTTGTGTTTTTAAAGTTTTTTTTTTTTAATCTATATCTGTATTAGAGGCGTTTCATATTTTAAAAATCACCATCACAACGAAGTGCAGATTTTATCGCAGTTACAATAAGTTTGTCTTTGTAATTTACTCCTGAGGATGATCTTGGAGGAGATCGAAAGTACTTGGGTAGTTAAGATCAAGAAACGGATTAGAGAAGAACCGGAAAGGATCAGTACAAAAATAAATCGGCATAATATGTCTATATCATTCAATGAAACATGTTTGAATGAATGTATGCTGCTTATATAACAGTTATGCTGCACACATACGAACACACAACCACACACACGCACACATATATATATGTGAAGAAAAATATACGGAAAAAAACAAACAAAAATCCTAATATGCAATTATGCTGTTTTAATGTTAATATAATGTTAACGTCGGACGTTTCGGTCAAGTAGACCATCTTCAGGACATATTCATAAAACATAATTAACATTAGACTATATTTGATTCAACATGAAAAGAAGATGGACATAAGAGTAAGACTAATCTAAATATTAGAGAAGCCAGGTCTAGTATTCATAATAAAAATCTTAGACGGATTTATGAGGCAGGCATAATATCTATCTCACGCACGGTGAATACTAGACCCGGCTTCTTTAATATTTCCCCCTTTTCTAGCAAGATTAATGCTCAACAAACGTACATATAAGTTTTAGATTAAAATAAAATTCTTTTCATTTTTCATTCAAGATACTATATTTTAGGAATACGCTTTCACAACATCGCCCACGTGACGCCGACGTGATCATATTGAAACGGAACGCTGATCTTGAAAAATTTCAGTTGTCTGTTTTGATTAGTCTTACTTTATGTCTAACTCTTTGCTTACATACATATATATATATATATATATATATATATATATATATATATATATATATATATATATATATATAACAGTGAGCAGCGACAGTCAGTTTCCTGCTTGGACTCAGTTTCCGGACAGATTTTATTTAAACATGAAACAGACAGTTGCCACCAGATGTTGACTACAGTGTCCATTTTTATATTTACTATTTGATCTATTCCTGATATAAAATGGCATGTCTTAAAAAAATAAATCGGTACATAGAAAAAAAGCACACACACACACACACACACAACACACACACAAATAGGGGAGTTTTTTTTTCCACAAACCCTATATATATATATATATATATATATATATATATATATATATATATATACACGAGGTCTGATAAAAAAGTATCAGGATCGGTACTATAGAAAGAAAGCTACAGCACATATTAATTCGAAATTTAATCTCCATCTGAGTAGTAGCCTTCTGACGCTACATAGTTTATCCAATAACGCTTCCATTGATGGAAACATTCCTGGAACTCGTTTTTTGGATAGTGAAGGGCTGCCTCGTCGCATTCTCTTGGATTCTCTCGACGGAAATAGGGAGTTTTTTTCCACCAAACCCTATATATATATATATATATATATATATATATATATATATATTGACATCCACATCCACAGAGACACTGTTTCACTGTATCACAGCTCATCAGTTCGGTTACCTCTAGCTAGGAACGAAACCCGGCTGAATTGGCGTCAGTCCGAGAATCTACCCCTAAGCCGTTGGCGCACGGCAGGGATGAAGGTGAATATTTTTCAGCGTATTCATTTTTAGATAAACACGACAGTAACTGAGAGAACTCGATTCATTTTATCGAAGAGTATTGCATTAGTAGCAGTATTAGTCACTGTTTACAAACACACATATGAACGAGAGAGAGAGAGAGAGAGAGAGAGAGAGAGAGAGAGAGAGAGAGAGAGAGAATAATTAAAAGAAAATGAAAGTGCAAGGGAATACTTGAGCGAATATTAGAAAGACTAAAATTTGAGAGAGAAAAAAATGAAGAATTCTCAGGAAAAACAACAGATATAAAACAGAATGAATGAATGAGAGAGAGAGAGAGAGAGGGAGAGAGAGAGAGGGAGAGAGAGAGAGAGGATGAGATAGGAAGTAGAGAGTGAGAGTTTTAATTAAAGAAAAAGAAGTGTGTTAGAAAGTCAGAATGAACATTCGAAAGAGTGGGAAGTAAACTAGAGGTAGAGGAAAAAAAGGTTTCAGCCTCTCTTTGGTTTTGTGTGTGGTTCGAGATAAAAAAAAAGATAATCTTAAGAATGTAAATAAGTCGTTACAAGGAAAATAAACACGGAAAGTCTTATCAGAAAAGCAAATACAATATAGAAATTGTTTATATTTAGTAGAAGACATTATACGTTGTTGAAGCTTAAAGATATTTATCGCTCGCTTCCGGTTAAAAATAAATAAATGAAACACAATACAGATATTGACATTTACGCGTCGAAGACGAGTTTTAGCGCGGGATTACCACTGCTAGAAAACACAAGAGGCTTTAAGTTACTATCAACAGCTTGCAAAACTAGAGAAAAAAAAAAGAACCTTAAAATATTGCCGATTTCGAGATCTATAGGAAGTAAACTGTAATTTCGCAAGGAACGGTTAACGAGGCGGAAAAAGAAATCGACAGGCCGAGTTCGAGTTTAGGTAGAGTTCGTTGCCTTTTGGTGAACGTTTGGAAACGAAAAATATCGAAATGGATTAAGTAGCAACTCTGACAGGGTTCTCTTGCTTTTTACGTGGCAACCAGTCTAGGAAAAGGACTGCTATGAATTCAAAACCACAGTGAAAAAAAAAAAAAAAGAAAAGAAAAAAAGAACATTGAAATATTCTCGATTTCGACATCTGCTGCATTTGATTTTAATTTGTCAATATGTTCTTGTAACCTTTCGAGTAGGTTAAAGACTCGGACAAAGAAAATTGGCGACCCGAGTTCAATTTCTGGTCGAGCTTATTACGTTCACTTTCGCTCAAATACCCTTTTGATAGATATTAATACATCTCTCCCCCCGGCTATGGGTTAAATAGCAAGGCTTGTTAGTCTTGTTTGTTCTGAAGTGGCAACCATTGTAGGAAAAGGAAATGTTTAAAACGAGTTCACTGCTGGTATGATTGCAGGAAATATTTTCCCCCTATGACCGTAATTGGTTGTTGTACTTATGACGTGGTTTTATGTAACCTTATACCAGACACGTTTAGAAAAAACTCTTATAAAACAACTATTTTAGTTACATTTGAACGGCGAAGACAAGTGAACATCAGATAGCTTCTACAGCCAAAACATAAAATAAAAATCTTAGGTAGGCTGAGCCAAATTTTTAACAGGGTCATTTTAACGAAGTACACCGTAAGACAAAATACTTAGCAATATTACGCTTATGACCATATCACGTTGAAACACCGATTCTCGTGCAATCGCCGGAGTTAAGCAACGTCGAGCCTGGTTATTATCCAGATAGGTGACTGCATGGGAATACCAGTTGTTGTAAGCTTGGATGAGCGGGTGCTGAAATAGATAACAGCTCGGAGTTGGGAGATCGGAGAGCCGAGTTCTAATTCCAGTCGGATTCATTATATTCACTTACGCACAAATACACATGGGAAAGGTATGAATCCACCTCTTCTCTCCCCAGCTATGGGTTAATTAGTAGGACTTGTATAAGTAAATCATTATTATCGCCCACCAAATTCTTACAGTCTAAAAGCATTCTCTGTCTTTAAATAACCTGAAAAAGTTTGATAAGCCGTAGAAAACGAATCCATCAATAAGTCCGCTGGCTCTAGAAAATAGGTTTCATTCTTATTTTTCAGATCCTTTCAGCACGCAAGCGAGCATGGCTCTCCATATCTTCCTGTTGTTTTTTTTTTTAATTCTCTTTGACCCTACCTTTTTGTTCTCCTTCTGCCATTCATTCACATAAACTCGTAAAGCATCTTACTCTCAGTTTTCCCCTTCTTCTCTTCCCTTCAGTGCCTCATGTGAGTGTTAAATTCTCCAGGCCTGCTTTCCTCATTACCTGTCCCAGTCATTGATCTGTAATTAACAGATTCCTTGTAGCTTCTTATTTTCTTAAAACTTCTCCATTGCTCACACGGTCTGTCTATGGTATAATCAACATTCGTCGGTATACCAACGTCTTTATCGCTTTAAGTCTTTTTTTCATGGGCGCGGGAAATGTCCAGCATTCACTAGCTTATAAGAGATTAGATATAATGCGGTTTAGCGCCCTTTTTGTTGCTTGGGGAGATTACACTATGTCGTAATAATCAGTTAGTTTTCTTACCGGTTCCCGTACGATCACCGAAGTTAAGCAACGTCGAGCCTGGTCAGTACCTAGATGGGTGACCGTTTGGAAATACCGGATGCTGCAAGCTTGGGTTTACGAGTAGCGTAATGGATAATGGCTCTGAATTCTTAATCGGAATGTCGAGTTCCAATTCAAGTTGAGTTCGTGATATTCACTTACCCATAAATACTCTTCTCCTCCAGCCATGGATTAACTAGTAAGACTTATATCGCTAAATCATTATTATCTAAAAGAAAATTCATACAATCTAAAAATATTTTCTGGCTTTAAATAATCTGCAAAGGGTTGATAAACCGTAAAAAATAACGTCTTTTATCATCTCATCGCAACGGTACTTCTACGGCGACAAACAATGGCATCAGATATCCCGTCCACAGAGAGAACCACTCGATTAGAGTTAAAGATGAATTCTATTAGGTCGAGTCCTTTGCTTTTTGGTGAACGTATGGAAACGAAAAATATCGAAATAGGTTAAATAGCAACTCTGACAGGGCTTTCTTGCCACCTCAGTTTAAGAGCATGTTTCTTTTTTCCTCTGTCGGATATTCTAAAATAACGTTTTTTATATTCATCTAATCGCAACGGTATTTCTACAGCGACAAACAAAGGCATCAGATATCCCGTCCACAAAGAAAGCCGCTCGATTGCACTTAAACATGCACTTAAACTTAAGCCTTTTGAAGCTCATACTCTTCAGTAGAGCTGACGAGACTTGAAAGAGTGAGCGATGAATGGAAGAGAAACCTGACGCAAGACGGGCATAGAGAAAACTATAGCATTTTCAATTCTCTTTCAGCTGTATTGAGAGCATTACCATAAGAGCTTCAATTTCTGAAAGAGGAATCGTCAAACATCGAACACGGCAATTGGAAGATTGCCTTTTTTTTTTTAAAAAAGAGTTCAAGTCCTTTGTTTTCCAGTCAGCAACAAGCTGGAAGCCTCTAACAAGTATTTGTCTTGCGTTGCTACGAAAAGAAACATTCTAAGCGGACACACGTCGCAAACGCAGACGGGTTCGTCCAGAAAGTCCGGAAGATCATGAAGCAAGTTGGAGGAGTCCACCAACAGATGTGTAGCGCATTAAGGACTTCAAAGAAGTGATCAAGAAAGAGCAGATAAGGAGGTACAATTTTGGCCATAACCGTGTGATAGGGTTGAAGTGCTTCTTGATCAAGTTTGAGCAAGGTCGGCATTCTTCGTTTTTTCTCCAGGGAAGACCAGAAGATGCCGGAGAAACGGAACAGACCCACGCTGACTCATATCAAGTTCGCATCATCATGCCAGCTCACTTCGTCAGATATATATATTCTGTTTATACGTTATTTTTATAGATATAATTTATTTAAGTAAATGGTCCGATTTTAATTAAATAAATTATATCTATAAAAATAACGTCATCAGGTCTGATGATTTCATATAGCTCTATCTCTGATATTGAGCACTTTATCCCATAAATATAGCACACCTTAAGACTATATTTCTTCATATATATATATATATATATATATATATATATATATATATATATATGTGTGTGTGTGTGTGTGTGTGCGTGTGTGTGTGTGTGTTTACGTGTGGGGATGTCTGAAAGGTAGAGTATTGTATAAATAAGTATGAATCGATCGGAATTAAAACATTGTGATGCTGTAAGCACAATACAATAGTGGGTATACGATATTTCTTGTGGCAGCCAGAAAATCCTTAAAATTGACACTATGCATCTGTAACGTCGCGACAAATATGACTGTCTCCGTAAAGGAGCGGACAAATATAGAAGTGTGAAGTCTAATAATTTTTTTGCATGTTAAACGTAAATATCAAAGAATTACAAAGAAATTACCGTATATTTCCGCGCATAAGGCGACGTTTAGATAAGACGAGATAAAAAAAATATACAGCAAATTTTCATGAATTTATCTATACCTGTAGCATAAGACGACTGCTTATATAAAGATGATATTATTGGAAATGTTGTTCCTTAGTGTATCCTTAGTGTGTAAACTCCTTCCTTTGTAACACATCTGTTTATCATCTCTCGGTTGAGCCTCTGTCTTTGGTCAGAGTGCACTCAGGGGCGACTCCGTCAAAGGACAGATTCGCAACTGAGAGGTGCCCAGCCCTGGTTAACAGGTACCTGGTATCGCACCCTCTCATTGCACCAGTGAGAGGGATCGGTTCTCGCACCGAGGCCAGCGCAACCGACGGTTTCGCGGACTCCGGGCAATTTTTGTTCCTGGTCCGAGTGTTAAAAACGAACACAACTCGTCTTAGTGGAGAAACACAGGAAATCTCTAGTGTGTCCTTAGAAATTCAAAATAAACGAAATAACACAACCTATTCTATATCATGTCTTTCCTACGCACGTCTTGTTTTGCTTGCGTTTCATCACGTGATCTCTTGCAAGTACTGATTCTTCTTCTTCCTCCTCCTTTTCTTTTCCTATGTCTAAACAGTTAAAACAGCTTGGTGTACTAATGGCCATTTACTTATACTTCATCGACAATCACAAAATACCGCTAATAACAGTACGATAATATAAGATAATAGTACATTCCACGTTCAACATCTTTTTTTATTTCAGTCTTTTATTCATTATTGAATGTTTAGATAATGCAAGATAAAGTTTACGGGGAATGCAATTATAAATCGGCGTTTACATTTTCTCAGCTCATGTGTTCAAGTTGTTATGGAATTATTCTTCGTATAGGCAATTTATTATTAAATTATGTCAGTAATATATAAGATAGAAATGGTTTTATTACTATTATTATCAGTTGATTTGTTAATGTGGGAGGCACGTTAGCGTAATGGATAGCGGCTCGGATTGAGGAATCGGAGAGCTGAGTTCGAATTCCAGTCGAATCCATTGCATTTACGTACGTGCTAATACTCTTGGGAAAGGTATGAATCCTCTTCTTTTCCCCCAAGCTATGGGTAAATAGTAGAACAGACCAAGTTCTGTAGCCTTGGATAGCAACTAGTCTATTGCAGAAAGAAATGGCAAACTTATTGCGGGAAAAATCTGCCTCGTCAGTCATGTATCGAAAGATACATGATCGCCTAAGCATGTATCACGCATGGCATATAACTGACTGACTCTTTTTCATGTACATTATTGGTTATCGCGCCGAGGTTAGCCTACCGACAAACATCATTCAAAGTTTAAAGTGTTTTTTTTTCGAATTGTACGATAAGACGACTCCCAAATTTTAAGGGTGATTTTGAGGATCTATGTGTCGTCTTATACCAAGAAGCATCTATTTCCGCAAAATTCAAATTTCATCTGTCGGCATAGAAATTGATCGAAACTGTGTTCTCGGCTAGAAAAGGTGTGCTTGTTTTTGGCGTTCATGACACCTGGTCATATATTTAACGCAATCAGATATTCTAGAACGCTGGACAAATGAAAAAAAACGTCGTAAAATTTTGAAGTGTACAGTAAATGTTATTACTATGAATGAATTATATCAACGAGTGAAATGATTTTTTTTTCACTGTGTAGTTTTCAAATTGGAGCCGACAGTAGAAGTCAAACAAGTCTGAAACCAGCAAATAATGCAGTCAGTACTGACAAGTGATGTCATGGTCGGGCAACCGCGGTCTTAAACACGCACCAGACCAGATATATTGCACAGCACAAGGCAGTGTTGATAGAAAGGCCCACCCACAGACAAGACTGTACTTAGTGTATGTCAACTGGAGGCAGTCAGCGGAACAGTTCACCTAGAGACCCAAATAATGTAGGGAATATTCATTACCGAGTCTCCGGTTAATGTTTGTCAGTTTCGCTGTCTTATAGATCTATCTATCTATCTATCTATCTATCTATCTATCTATCTATCTATCTATCTATTAGTCTGGCCATATCTATCTCAATCTGTTTCTATCAATCTACCTTAATCTGTTTATATCTAATACGTTTCGTATCTATCTATCTATCTATCTATCTATCTATCTATCTATCTATCTATCACACGTTGAAACACGGGCTTCTGTACGACCACCGACGTTAAGCAATGTCGATTCTGGTCAGTACCTAGATGGGTGACCGCTTGGGAATACCAGGTGCTCTAAGCTTGGAAGTGATGTTTGTGCAATGGATAACCCTTCCGAATTTCCGTTGGTTTCGTTATATTCCGTTGGTTTCATTATGCACAAATTCGGAAAAGTATGAATCCACCTCTTCTCCCCCAAACTATGAGTTAATTAGTAAGAATTGTATCATTAAACAATTATTATCACCACACCAAAATATCTTAAAATCTAAAAATATTTTCTGGCTTTAAATAAAATGAAAAATTCTGATAAGCCGTAGAAAACGCACAAATCTATCTATCTATCTATCTATCTATCTATCTGAATTACTGTCCATATTTAATTTTGAATATCTATCTATCTATTTATCTACGCTGTAGAGATCTAATGATGAAAATGAATCCATTGTGTGAATCCCAAATTAATAATGGTTACATGGGCTAATAGATTCCAATGACGCTTCTACTCAGTCCAAACGATTTTCGGGGTCATAAAGTGCCTTTCATTGTGCCCTCTCCACTGACCCAGCAGGCTTCCATTTTCATTGTCTATTAATTGTGAACGCGTAATGACAATGATTTATCAGTATTTTCACGCATACAAGTAAATGTACTCGTACACACGACATCAAATCCATATTCACTCAATCACACACACATGTTCGTTCTTTGATAAAAAAGAATAATTTTTTACGCTATTATCCACCCAGTACAATACCAAAGAGCCACTCAAGGTAGAGAGTTTCTGAATAAGCTTGTTGTAAGAGAAGGAGGAGTACATGAGTGCAATTTATGAGGATATGCAGGATAGATAATATTTGACATTGAACTTGAAAAAGGTTTAGAATATAATTGTTAGGGAAGCATCCTTTCATCATTTTTTATGCAAGGTAACGGCTCTTCGGAAGAAGCTGTTCGAATTGAGCTTCTTCCTTACAAATGAAATCCGAAAAGAAAGTGGAGGATTCGACCCTGTGTACGGGGTGTAGCGGGTTTTAGCCGTGAAGGCCTGAACTCGTAGAAATAATGTTGTTTGGTTGTTTTTGTTTAGCGGCATATCAACATTTCTATGAATTATTTAATGCTAAAATCAAAATATTTTATACACAATTATATACTTTTAAAGATAATAAGTTTTAGTAATACAATTTTTACTAATTAATCCATAGCTGGGGAGAGAAGAGGTGGATTCATACTTTTCTTTAGAGTATTTTCGTTTCAATGAATATAACGAACCTAACTGGAATTGGAACTCGGCTTTCCGATTCACAATTCCGAGCCATTATCCATTACACCACCCGTACATCCAAGCTTACAGCACCTGATATTTCCAAACGGTCACCCATTTACTTACAGATCAGACCAGGCTTGACGTTGCTTAACTTCGATGATCCTACGGTTCAACGTAATGTGGTCGTAAGCCTGGTGGAAATAAGAATGTAGCTCGTTAGAAACTTTTCCATGGAAATAGGGATAGATTTGAGAGAGGCTTGCGACTTTTCGCCTGTGGGAAAGAGGTAGTATGGTGTAAAATCTTTCATCATCCACAAGGCTGCGTATTCTGTCAAAAGTGTTTTAGCGGCCTTGTGGGTGATGAATTATTTTCCATTATATATACGCCGTTATCTCTCTTTCGAATTTAGTGATTTATGAATCAGATGCAAGAAGCATAGTTTATATTAAGAATCTAATACCCGCTCTTCAGTAGAAACATGCATTTTAGAATTCTTTTCGTTTTGTTTAATCACCCTATACAAGGAAGTAAAGCCACTAAGACACAAGGTGTTACTGAGTGTGGAAGAATAAGAAGAAAGAGAAACGTTATTAAGGAGCGAGGACAATAGAATACTAATCAAGAAGCCATTAGATAACGAGTGATATTGCATTTAGATTTTTGAAGAACAAAGTTGGCTGGAAAGCATGGAGCCGGAAGAGAGTTACCATTGTAGAGAATAAAACGAAGATTTCGACGCAAGAGATTGTTAAGAGTTTGAAAATCGATATCTCATCTGTCTTTCCCAATTTGTAGAAGGTTGGATTCAAGAAAAAAATGGCAAATCGAAAAGGAATCATTTTCCACCAGGACCGCGTGTTTCAAAATAGAGACTTGCAGAAGCTTAAAATGTTGAAATGGGACCCCACCCTCCAACACCCACCGTATACTCCTGACTTATCCCTTTGAGATATTCACTTGTTCCGGTCTTTACAGAACAATTTCAATGACAAAAAAAAAAAAAAAAAAAATTAACTCTGTACACTCAATAGAAAATTACTTCACAACCTTCTTCCAACAAGAAGATATTCCCTAACCGCCCCACGCGGTCAGATGTGGCACAAGGCCGAAATTAATGTGGGATATCCGAGCCCATAGGCTCGGGCAAAATTTCCCCGTAGACCCCGCATACACAGGGGTCGGGTAGCTGTCTAAAATCCCCAGACGAGACTCTGCCCTTCGACATAGCCTCGTCAGGGTACTCTCTGCCATGAGGCACAGAGTTTGACAAGCACACTTGGAAGTGAATCCAGTAAATTCTTCCAACAAGAAACACGAAGTTTCTGCAAAGAAATGTCATCAACAAGCTTGTAGAACGATAGGAGACAGTTGTTCAAAGAATTATTGGAGACTATCTGCTTGACTGATTAATTTTTTGGGTGGGTATGTAAAATCTTGTTTTTAATTTTCTAATCGGGCAAGAACTTTTGCAATGATCTAATATTGACACATGAAAAATGTCCAGATAAATAAATCAAAAAGTGCTGAACTTCTGTGTAATAAAATAAATCTTTTATATAGGAATGAATGCTGGATAATCTGTTCCCGAATGACTTGAAGTGACAGAGATGTGGTTCTATAGGCTAATGCTAAGATTACCAGGAATAGAAGATATGAACAGCGTGGATGTTTTAAGGTAAGCAGGAACAAGAAGGAGAGTTATCCAATCAGAAAGAGGTTCACTTTTTGAGAGAAAAGTAAGCCTAGAGAATGTAACACGAGCAAGACATACTGGAGGCAAGAGAAGCAAGGTGAAGCAGCGAGTAATCTACCTAACGTGTTTGTGTGAATGCATTGTAGAAAGGGAAGGGGAGATAATAGAGAGCCAAAAATGACTTCGAGCAAGAAAAGTTAGGAAGTTGTGGAGAGCCATTATCGCCCACGGGCTAGCCACTTAATAGAAGATTAGTAGAACCATTTTATCTTTTTTTATTTAATGAAGCATTGCCAACCGTTATTATTAATTTATTTTATTAGTATTTACATTCATTTTATTTTTTAGGTACATTTTATTGACCTTTACTGCAATCGTGTTTTTTTTCTAAGACCATTCTTACTCCTTGCATTTTTCAGACAATTCCGTTCTTTCTTTCTTTCTTTCTTTCATTCTTTCTTTCTCCCCCCTCTCTCTCTCTCTTTCTCACCCGTCTACGATTTCTTTTTAATGTCTTTCAGATAAGTCGTTAATCCCACGCCTTGTACACAATGTCATTCATTTTGGGTTCCCGCCTTTTTCCCCCGACAATTCCTCATCAGTTTTCCCCACCTTGTTCCAATCAACTACTCATCTGTACAAGCAAACGATCTCTACCGTTTCGTATTTGCCAGCACGTCACTTCCAACGTATCGTTTGGCGTACGACGTGTAACTGATTCTAAATGACTCAAAAACCCGACGAAAGACAGATGAAAAACACATGTTTCGCATTTGATGGCATCTGAATGTGGTTTCTCTCCGAAAAGGAAGAATATGAGGCGATCAGTCAAGAAAACCGACGGTAGGAACATTTGAACAGATTTTAGCGGCAATTTTAGTTAGTTTCAAAATCGTTGAAAAAAAAAAGAGAGATTAACGCTCCAAACATATTCAAGAAGACAGCCAGAATTTTTCTATGTGCCCTGTCCCTTCAGGACATGAGCGAGCATTGCACTCCACAACTTCCTGCCCATGGAGCCCTTAATAAACTAGTATCTATTCTGCCAACCAATGACACAAATTCGTTAGGTAGGTTATTCACCGCTTTTCTCTCTTTCCGTCGTATATCTTGTGAGTGTCAAATTTTCCAAGCCCTCTTTCCTCATTATGTACCCTGAAAATTTCAGTTGTCTCTTTCTGATTCTAAGTGTAGGCGTATATTTTGTTTCGATTTTCTCTAAAACTTCATCGCTACTTCAGTCAATAGCATTCTCAGCATCCTTCTGTACCACACTTCTGTTGCTTCAAGTTTCTTCCTCATCTGTGAAGACATTGTCCAGCATTTAATGCCATATAGGAGGACCGATATTACACAAGAGTTCAGCACTCTTTTCTTTGTTTCTGACGATATTTTTCTTGTCTCTTAATAGTTTGCTCAGCTTTTGGAAGGCATCTTTCGCTATTACAACGCACTGCCAGAATTACACATCCAAAATATAGATATTTTTATTCCCTAATTCCCATCTTAACCTAATTCTTCTTCTGTTATGATTCATGTCCTTTCCAGCTACGTGCAATTAAGGCTCTCCACAACTTCCGTTTTTTAATGCGCTGTGTAACTTCTATAACTTCTGTAACTTTTTCAGCCTACTTCTTACTCTTCGGTGTGTCTTGTGAGTGGTGAATTTTCCAAACCTTGTTTCTTCATTATGCGTCTCTACAACAGGAAACTACAATGACACTTATGTTAAGAATCAGAAGAAAGTGTTGATATTTCTGGGAGGTATAATAAGGAATGAAGGCCTAGAGAAACTAACACTCATAGGATAGACTGGTTGACTATTATAAAATTCGATACCCCCGGTGTGTCCTATGCAAAAATTCGATATTAAAATACCCGACGAAGGTTGAAGTCATGCACGAGTAATCGTGGGAAAATATATAAATTTTTATACATCAACGTTGAATGACGAAATTGGAAAAAAAAATGTAACGAGTTTCGTTCATTAAGAGGCCTTCATCAAAGTAAAATAATGTTCTTATTGATGGAATTAAATATATATATATATATATATATATATATATATATATATATATATATATATATATATATGTGTGTGTGTGTGTGTGTGTGTGTCTTTCTATATATATATATTATATATGCGCGGTGCTTATTGAAAAGCGCTCATAATCAGTAATGGAGCTAGCATATTCAGTTGTATGGGTGAGTTTGTAACCTCGGGTTTCACGAGTTTGTTTGATGATCGCAAAAGCGTGAAACTCAGGGTTACAAACTCATATCCATACAACTGAATACACACACACACACACACACACACACACACACACACATATATATATATATATATATATATATATATATTATATATATATATATATATATATATGAGATTAAAAAAAAAAAACATGTTAAAAATCGCTACAGAATAACATGGGATTGTTTTAATATAAAGCTTTACTCTATATTGAGTCCTTTTTTAAAATTAAATACTACTGACAGTGGAATTTATACTCCATTTCTTGTAATCTCATACCTGTATATATATATATATATATATATATATATATATATATATATATATATATATATATATATATATATTTAGAAATAAATAATAACTAGATATTAGCAACCGTATACGCGCGTGCTGGCGTGCACATGTTGATAAGCAAATAAATAATTACCAAATTTAACCAAGAGATGTAGACAAAATAGTGTTCAATGTGATTAGACAGAGCTAACACTAACACACACACACACACACACACACACACACACATATATATATATATATTAATAAATACACATTTACCTACATTTGGTCTGCGACTTAAGTTTCGTTAGTTACTCAACTCGTCGGGTACAAGATATAGCTCTCTCTCTCTCTTTTATATATATATAATGTATGTGTATTCAGGAAGAAATATATATATAATGTATTGTGTATTTGCGAAGAAATTCCTCTTTTATACTAATTTACTTTTTTTATACGAGTCATCGCCAATGAAACTTGTACAAAGCGGGCTTGTTGTTTTCTTTTCTGGACATATCCGATCGATTTTGACTATTCTTTTAGTCATTATCCAGGATGATTTTTAATGTTTATTTTTATCTGGATGTATAGATTTTTTATGTAGGTATCTAGTTAGAGTTATAGGAATGTTTTATGCTGACAGTGTTTGAAAATAAAACATTGCTATATCTCTAGATATATACATAAAAAAATTCAGATATATAGGGGGAGGTGAGAAAATATAAATCAAAATATCGGTTATAATTATGCACCAAGAGGAAACGCTGAAAATCTAGGGACGCTAAATATTAAATGAAAAAAAAACATCTTGTTTTCACGCCCGACGTGTCTAGACGCAAGCGCTCAGCCGATTTCACATTGTTTTCCAACACTTTTGCTTTTGTTTTCATCATTGTTATTTTTTTTAAATATCCCATATTGCGATAATAGAAGCTGCGTTAAGAAAGATTAACTCTTTTAAGAACCAGAACACATGGTTACTGTGGACAATTCAGAAATCAGTGCACTTACTATACATTTTCGTCTTAGTAAATTACTTTTGCTAAAGCAGTATTTCATTAAGTTAAAATAATGGTTAGAGTGCTTACAATGAAAGACTAATTCATCGAGTGTGTTGTTCTGTAAAAAATATGTCGTTTGTGTTCTTTTATTTAAATTCCTCGAAGTCACTACTATGTATTCTGTGTGGCAATCGTTACTGGATATAGTGTAAATTCCTGCTTCAAGTTTTTGGTTGTTGTACTCTAAGCTTAATATAAAATTCCTTGTAACAACTTCTAAAAGAATAAAATCGGTTTTGTGTCCATATCTTTTCTTTAAATTCCGCGAAGTCTCACCAAATATTTTTGTGACGCTTATTACAGTTAAGTATATAAATTATATACATTTCTGCTACAGTATTTAGATTAAAGCAGGAATTAACATTATAGACTTACATTATAGACTATAATAATGGTAATGTTAATATTAGTAGTTTCTTTATTGCTATGGTCCGCTTCCTTGTACCACGGTGATAGTCCAAGGTAGAACCAATAAAGAAGAACTCGAACACGTATATGGAATAACACAGATATATTACAAACAGGAATATATACAGAGAAGTAGAAGTGTTAGTATGAACAATCAGGTTTAGTAGAGAGAACAATGTAGTCTCGACCAGTATCACTATTCCAATGTCTTGCAGTAATTGTCTGAACGCGACTCTGTTTCGGACTGCCTCTGACTCGACTCTTGACTCGACTTGAACTACTGACTGACTTGCCTTCTCCTGAGGCGCAGTATTTATTAAGTATGGAATAGTCCATTATTATTATTATGGGTAAGATCCCATAACACTTATAAGGAAATATTCAGTATTCATTGATGGAGTAACCAGTACTGTTGTCGGTAGTAATTTATAAAATCTTTCTCTTAAAACAATTTTCCAGGAAAATACGTTTCTCAAGTCCAGTAACTGTTATCGCACTTTCCAGTATTGATGGAGGTTTCCTTCCTTGGCTTTTGTTTGGTGTTGTGTGAAACGTGAGCATCTTGACTACGTCGTTATTCTTTCTTTGAGTTAAATGTGCTATCCATTTTAGTTTTTGCTGCTTTCGAAAGTCAAGTGATGTGGTTTCTGTTATCTGGTACAATTCTTTCCCAAGCAAGGAAATAAATCCACTAAGACGCAAGAGGTTACTCAGTGTTAGAGAAAATGAGAAACATATACTCTTAAGGAGAGAAGACAATAAAAGAACAAGAATTAAGAAGACAGAAGATAACTATTGACATTGTATTTAAACTTTTGAAGATTAAAGTTGGCTCCAATTAAATTAATATTAAAATTGAATTAAATTAAAATAAAATTAAAATAAAATCAAATAAAAATTAAATAAAATTAAATAAAAATAAAATAAAATGAAATAAAATGAAAATAAAATGAAATAAAATAAAATAAAATAAAATAAAATAAAAATAAAATTAAATAAAAATATATAAAAAATAAAATAAAATAAAATAAAATAAAAAATAAAAAAATAAATTAAAATAAAATAAAAATAAAATTAAAGTAAAGTAAAATTAAAATATAATTAAAATTAAATTAAAATAAAATGAATTTTTTTGCTTTAATGCTTTTTTATACTTTACTTTTTTTAAGCATTTATTTTTTTATGGACTTGTTCAGGTTAATGAATTTGACTGATGAAGTACTAAAGGACGAAACGTGTTACTCTAATATTTCCACTTTGTCATAGATTTTCCTAAAATACGTTTTAAATAATTATATATTCAATAAGTTTTGATTTAATTAAAAAACAAAAAAAAATTATTCAAATCATGATTATACAAAAAGCAAATAACAACAGTGTAAAGTGTGTCACATCCCTACGAACTGGCCCATGCCCGGGTAAGGGGAGACAAGTATCACCTGACCTTCATCCCCCCCAACTATTCATAACAGAGAATAACCGTAAACAATTCTTGGATTATTAGGACATAAATTTGAGCAGCTAGAAAGTGTCAAGCAGAAAAATGAACAAGTTATCCGTTAAGTATTCGATTTAGTACGAGTCCTACGCTTCTTAATGGAGTTGTTTTATATGTCACAGCATACAGGAATATGTAAAACAAGGTGGGCAAGTAATGGGGACTCCATTAAGAAATCTAAGACTTGTACTAAATAAAGACATGATGAAATGTTTTGCCATACTGTTAACTATCTCATAGAATTATTCCAGTTTAACTGAATGAGAAATTGTGTAATATATCCATTATTGTAGTATGCGCAACGGTGTAAAGAACAGATAAAAAGCTCTGTCTACGAAACTCTGGAGTCGGCATGTGAAGGTAACATCAATAAACTAAATTAAAAAACTTTTATTTGTATTAATTCTATCTATTATATACTTAAGATTAATGCTTTTTTTGGTTATTGTCGACTGTAAAATCGCAGGAAATAGCCATCACATGATTTAAGAGGGAACCTTGATCGCCTAATGTCGTGAAGAAGGTACATGGCAAATCGAAGAAGGTAACAGATCATGCTGATGTTTCAATTTCTTAACTTAGGATTTTCTCTATCTATCTATCTATCTATCTATCTATGGTCAAATTTCTCTGAAAACACCAGTACGAGGTCGATCACTGAAGTCAAACAGCGTCGGGCCCGTTCAGCACTTAGATTAAACCGCTAGGGTTTTGTATGTAACTTCCTATTATCCGAAATGCTTCTCAGCTTTAAATAACCCATAAAGGGTTGATAAACCGTGAAATAAAACTTGTACCAATGAAAAGTGAATATCAAAAAGAAACATCGAGAACTACAAACAATCAAATGCTGGTACCCTTTGACGAGTGGACGGAGTGATTCCCAGAAGATCCGACTATGAAGCTCTGGAGTCGGGATACTGAATGTAACATCAATTAGCTAAGTGTAAAAGATTTTCTTGTACTAATACTTTTATATAATTTAGATTAATGCATTTATGGTTAAAGTCGACTAGCAAAATCTCTGAAAATGACCATCACATAGCTAACAAGAGAGCCCTGATCGCCTATGTCCTGAAGGCTTATGCAGATGTTCCAATCTCTTAGCTTAAGCTTTTCATATCTATCTATCTATCTATCTATCTATCTATCTATCTATCTATCTATCTATCTATCTATTGTGGGAACCTAACCTACCTACAAATGGAATCTTCCACACTTATATAATGTGGCTACCAACTGTGAGTAGGGAGAAGTCACCAGGTGACGTTTGTCGAACTCTCTGCTTTGGCAGAGAGGAATCCCGGACGAAGCTTTACCGTAGGGCAAGGTTTCGTCCGGGGAGGTCGACAGGTCCTGAACCCGTATAGGCGGGTTCAAAGTGTATATTTTTGGGCGAGCCTACGGGCTCGGAGAAACCCACTTTAAACTCGGCCTTGTGCTACATATATTCCTCGTAGGTGGGATATTAAATATTGAGTCACCAAGAGTGTATCACCGAGTGAGTGAACGAGTGAATCAAGACACCAGTGAGAGAAAGTACTCTCCTCTCAACGTTTACTGTTGTACTACTTTTTTCCGAGAATATACTCTTTAACCTTATATCCGAGTCCGTGTTATCTTTCTATGGTCCAACACCATAACACTATCTATCTCACAGTCTGTTCAATTCTCTCTCTCTCTCTCTCTCTCTCTCTCTTTCTGTCTCACACTCTCTTTCTATCAGAAAATTTCCAGCATGTAATGTTAAAGAGGTTTACATTTATTTCAAAGAACAGCTTGTACCACCTTTTATGCCCTCTTTTCGCCTCGGTTGGCTTTCAATTTCTGTTTTATATCTATCTATCTATCTATCTATCTATCTATCTATCTATCTATCTTTCTATCTCCGCCTGTTCAATTCTCTCTCTCTGTCTGTCTCTCTCTCTATCTATATATCTATCTGAAAATGTCCAGCACGTGACGTAAGATGTTAAAGAGGTTTACATTATTTATTTCAAAGAACAGCTTCGTAGAAAATATCACTGGGTTTTATCAATTGAGTTCTAAAGCACAAGCCGTAGGATGTCCGGAGCTTGTATAACCTGACTTTGATTCTATCGTTATTGTTTTTTTGGCCCTTGTACCAATGTGGCCAGTGAACACGTTTTCGTTTGAAGACGATAACTTGGCAAGTGATCTGAAATTCAAACGAATCGACCCTCCCTTAAAAAAAGGTAAAAGCCCGGACGGAACACACCCACAAATGTCCAAAGAGCGCATTCCTCACACTTTCCGTTCTTGTTCTTTTCTATCAAATAATTCCATTAGGCGACAATCAGTTCAATGTTGTCTTTATTTCTCTGTTATTCGGTAACAATGTTCTTTTCTTTTATCTGTCGTAAATTGTCTATCCCTCTTTCTCTCTCTCTCTCTCTTTATATATATATATATATATATATATATATATATATATATATATATATATATATATATATGTGTGTGTACATATATATATATATATACATCATCATGTTCATATGTATATATATATATATATATATATATATATATATCTTATTCTGTACATTATCTATCTAGCTATCTATCTATTTTGTTTGATCGTGTTCATCTCTCTCGCTATCGTTTTTTGTCTCATTCTTTTCATATGTATCTATCTATCTATTTATTTTGTTTGATAGTGTTCCCCTCTCTTTTCTATCATTTTTCATATCATTCTTTCTATCTATATCTCTATCTATCTCTATCTTGTTTGATAGTGTTCCTATCTTTTCATCTATCTATCTATCTATCTATCTATCTATCATATCTCTATCTATCTTGTTTGATAGTGTTCCTCTCTCTATATATTTTTTCTCATTCTTTTATATCTATCTTTTTATCTATCTTTTCTCATAAAGTCTATCTAATCTGTTTATCTTTATCTATTTACATATATATGTGTGAGTTGACATGAAATATAGATCAAATATTTACACACTTTTTTAATTTTGAACCCATATGGTAGAATTTTTGATATTTTTGCGGTTTTTTTAGTTGGCCTTGGATTTCTTGATATTTCGAATGGAGACGTCGCCTCTCCTTGAATTCAGAACGCCAAAAATTATACTAACGTTTATTTAACAAGTCGAATGTCCATGAAACATGATTAACTAATGAAAATCAAACTACACAAAAGTAAAATTACAAGAATTTCTTTCTTTTTTTCTCTATCTCGCAACTGAGTTGCCTGCTCCAGATTTTGACCGCTGCTTCCGATATCCGTGAAAGGGAGGTCTGTAATACAGAGGTATTAGTGTATATCGAAAAATATATTGGGAATTCATTATTGGGAATTCCGTATCGCAAATAATCAAATTTACCAGAAAATTCATCGCGGCTTTTTAGTTACAAAGTTCAGATAATAATAATAATAATAATAATAATAATAATAATAATAATAATAATAATAATAACGAAACAAATTTAGCCATTTGCGACTCAGTTTGGTTACAGAAACAAGAAAAGGAAAATAACCCTCGATTCAGTGAGAATGGATTTTCTAAGTGCTTTTTAATATATATATATATATATATACATATATATATATATATATTATGAAAACGACAAAGTCCGACAATTTGAAGACACTTTTTTATGTTTAAAATAATTATCGGACTTTGTCCATTTCATAATGTGTCACGTCATTTACTTACATTTGGATTCGCATCGAGCAGATATGAATGTATGAGAGAAAATCATGGAGAATTGTAGTTTAAAAACAGTAAAATCGACGTCGCTAGCCTCAGGCTATATGACGGTTCCGTATAGGATACAGGTTCGATTCCAGTCGGGGGACGCATATTTTCTATGAAATGACATTCAGACCGGTAAATGATGTTAATATTGTTAATTATAAACAGAGCATTTACTTAAATATTTGTATCTATAAAAAGAATGTATAAACATAAAAATGTCTTAATATATATATATATATATACATATATATATATATATATATATATATATATATATATATATATATATATATATATATATAATCACTTCACCCCAAGGACGGCAATAATGTCTCTAATACGGAAAGGCCTACTAGAAGTGAAAGAGAACGAGAAGACTTTAGAAGGAACCGGAAACCCAATCCTAAACAGGAAACAAGCGATAAAACTGTACTCCTGTTCAAAAGATCGCAAATAGGGTGAGCCTATCTATTCCTATATTGATTCATTAATTCTTTGTTCTTTTTCATATTGATTCACTCAGAATGATTTTTCCTTGTTCTTTTTTTCATATGATATATATATATATATATATATATATATATATATATATATATATATATATATATATATATATATATGTATTTGGGCAGCAGCATATGATTATTCAAACATATATTGTTAAATATAACAGACAACGAATGCCTACTTCGCGAGGTATCCACTAGTTAGTGGACTTTCACTTTGTTTGCATTAGTGTAGTCACACGTGTAGTTTATTGCTTAATGGGGTTTCTAGTGTGTTTAAGTTATTTTATATTAATCGTTTTCTATATCCATGTCGTTTGAAGGAAGAGTAGAATAGGAGAAAAGGATAACAGTAGCACAAAAAATAATGTATATTTACAGTATACAGGTATTTGAAAGTCACAGATTGTACAGTGTGCTTGATTAAATGTACAGTACTGCATTATTCCACTTTCTTTCTTAATTGTTAATATTAATCCACTACAGACTACGTGACGGTAGCTACGGATAATCAGCATTATCGGACTGATGTTTCCCGCTTTTAGCCATTAAAACGTGTTTTCATCTTTGGTTATCATATTTGTCATTTGACATGTTATATATTTAAAAAAATAAGTTTGTTTTCTTTTAACAGCACGCAATTTGAGCTCTTCCTTTCCCTAGGAGTGTCTATAAAGACGATAAGAACAAGAGAGTACTCAGAGAGTACACAGCAGCGCTTTTGTTACCCAAAACAGAATCAATGCTTTTGAAACAAATGTTTATTGTTTCTTTTAATGATATAAAAGGTACGGCAGTAAAACAGCCCATTTTCACGGCTGTTGGTGTAGTGTTAGTGAAGCTATACAGGATGTCTTTATGTCTCTAATATTCCGCCATTTTTAGTCACCCTTTAGAACATTCCAGCAAATGCTCTTCTCTTCACAAGTGACAAAGACCATTTTCGTCTCTCTGGCTGTGGTTGTAATCAGAATTTTCGCTAGTGGGCATAATACAATCCGAAACATATTCATGAAAAACCTCTACACTGCAAATGAATTACTGTAGGGTGCGCTTTTGCTAATATTGCTGTTTGGAGCCTTTGACTTTTTGATGATGAAGAAAGTCGAACGGTTTCGCTAAATTCCGGTCGGTATGCGGAGATGTTACAAAATTTTCCGGTACCAAAAATAATACACATTGGTCATTCTGGTGTATTGTTTCAACAATGAGAAGACCTATGAATGTTTTAGAAGGCACTTAATCTCTCTACACCTGTACGCTCGCCTAATCTCTCCCAATATGGTTATTTCTGTATAAGGTAAGGTCTACAAATATCGACTGACAGCAATTGACGAACTGAAGACTGCTATACACGAAACAATTAGAAAAAATACCGCTGGCAATGAGTTATCGAGGAATTGGAGAAACATCAGAAACTGGCTAAAACTGTGTATCGAGAATAATGGTCACCGTTTTCGAAAAGTAAATTGTTGTAACCCAAAATATTAGGAACAACAAAATATAACAAAACACAGTTAAATACAGTGTAACCCGGATATAAGAGACCCGGATATAAAAAAAAAACCCGGATATAAGAGAGATTTTCTCTGGTCCCAAATTAGAGCCATACTTACCTAAACAAAATAGACCAAACCCGGATATAAGAGAAACCCGGATATAAGAGACTTCCTCTCCGGTCCCGACAACTCTCTTATATCCGGGTTACACTGTATATTTTAAAACACAATATTCGTTTTTATTCTCACCGACCTGGATACAGCAGGTTTGGGTTGGATAAACAATTCCCTCTTTACAGATGGTGCATTGTCCAGCAGCCATGTTGTTGTCTGATATTACACCTTTTTTCATGAAGAGTCCATGATTCGTTAGGGGAGAGTTGTCTCCCCTAACATAAACAGTGTACCTTTATCGATTTTATAACATTTTTCTGAATAGATATTTGCCCTGTCTTTTTTTTTCAGCCTATTAAATGTGACTTATTTTATTGACGCACTCCGTACAATTGCTTTGCGCTCACCTTTCCTCTAGAAGTGTCTACAAAGAAACAAGACTAGGGAAAAAATATTATAAGAAAAAAGTACCCAACACCATTGCTAATAAAAAAAAATGAACGAATATATCGTCCTGGGTAAAACGATAAACTACATCCGCGTCCTGGGTAAGAGGATAAACTAAATTCGCGTCCTGGGTAAGACGATAAACTATGTCCAACAGCAAGGCCTCTGATCAGGAGGTTTTGAGGTGCGTGGAACCATCTCTTATTTGCTGGTGATCCCAGGTCCACCCTGACCCGGGGTGGTAGCGCATGTTAGGGTCCCAGCTATGGGCAAATAGTTAACCCCGAAACTGAGGTAAAAAGCATTATAAAAGCGTAAAAATGGGTTTTAATACCAGAGATACTTTGTAAAAGAATTGTTACCAGAAATAAATTTTTGAAGAAAAAAAAAATTACCAGCAATATATTTAAAAAAAAAAAAAAATTACCAGCAATACGTTTTTGAAAAAAAAAAATATTACCAGTAATACATGTTTTAAAATAATATTACCAGTTATACATTTTTGAGGAAAAAAATATTACCAGAAATAGGTTTTTGACAAAACAAAATATTACCGGGAAAAAAAAAGTTGTCGGCATTAAATAACCCATTGAGGTTGATATGCCATAAAACGCAATAAACCAAACCAAACCTGAACGAATATAATTTATAAAAAATGTGATTATTTTAAAAAATAATATATGACTGCATTGAGCTTCTGGTAATAAAATAAGCACATCCCATCTCCCCTCTCGCTTGTGCCTATCCATCACAATAAAATGTTTACATCACTAAAGCAGAATGAATCAAATAAAGATTCTACATGGAGTTGTTACTATATTACGGGGTTCATTTTTGTTTTGGAAATGTTTATAAGGACAAAAGCGACGCGAGCAGATACGAAATCACCCAAAGGGTGTATTACTCTGCCAATTCTATTGTTATTAAAATCGGAATACATGGATAGATACACTACAAAGGTTTTAATTTTGTAGGTTTTAAGTCTTCCTTATATTTCACAATATTATCTTAATATAAAAAAAATATATCACTATCGTAATAATCCCAATTCTCTTCAAAATTTAATAAGCCTTTTCTTTATATATGTCCTACGCTTCTATAAAATGCCATTGAAATTTACTGAAAACGTTTTGAGATAGTGTGCGGACAGACAGATAAACACAGCTGAATATATAAACTCTGTCTATCTCGAATGTTAAAAGATATGCTGAATGTTTAAATTTTGGCTACAAAATATAAATTATTATATTGGCGCATATTCTGAAACTAGGAACTGTACACACACAACAGGTGAAATTTTTCCGTATGTTTCTGTTCTGTTACGTGTACTCTTTTATGTCAGACTCTATTTTGCCAGTCTGCTAGTTATAGCAAAAGTCAACAAATATATACTACTAGCCGAATTACCCGCGCCTTGCTACATGTCACGCATTTTTTGTAAGAAAATGGTGATTGATTTTAAATTATTGTTATAATTTGTGGAGAAAAATAACGCATTTCAATATTACTCAATAATTTTGCAGATGTGGCCTCCATCTTCTGGCTTTCTCCTTCTATATTTTGGATAGGAGTCATTCCCTTGTTCAAATTTAAGT